CACAGGCGATCGGGCATTTCGCTTCCACTTCTATGTGGGTGAGTGAGCTAACTGATGCGAGCTACGTTCTGGAATGGGAGAATCAGTTTTATTTAATAAAATTTTAACTAAAAGGCCCGAAACTCGCCGATTTGTTATGTTAATTTATTTATTTATATGCCTTCTAATTTAATTCTGAGTTTAAAAACCTTTTTAGTTTTGTATATTTCTCTACAGTAATAAATAATATTGATCATTATCGGTAGTTTTTATTGTTGCGGCAAAACTACACTGGAATTTTTGGCGATAGCTTAGAAAAAAAAAATTGTCTCGCTCAAAACGGAAACATTTCTAGCCGTAAAGTATCAAGTTGGAACGTAGCATGGCACGGGCGATGGTGAATCTCTATCAGAGTTATATGTGTGTGAGAGAGAAAACCGACGCAAGCAACGTTCAGGAATGACAACGTCAGTTTCAATTAACGTAAATCGATTTATGAGATTTTGCAGTGATTGGTTGAAATGATCGTTTTTTTGCGAATTTTTTACTATTAAACTGTAAACGGTAATGTTTCGCCACTAAGAAAAAAAACGGATAAAATTGTTTTTTTTGGTTTTGGGTCCTTTAAACATCTCACTATACTTTCGGAAAAATAATACAAAGTAACACAAAATAAGGGTAAATATTTTATAAATTTGAATTACAAATTTGCTGGGTTCTTATTCGTTTTTGCCGCTTGAAAAAAATACTGAAGTTTTAAGAACTTTAGTGGGTATCGAGCGAAGTTTGTTAATTCCTCGAAAATCTTGTATACTAATTTGGTTGAAATTTTAGGCATTTTGACGGTCAAATGTCTTCTGTAAATGGTCCAAAAGCCAAGTTCCGACGAGCTCCAGATTAGACTATAAAATCTGCTTAAGAGCGTCAGTGAATTTCAAGAAAAATGTTGTTAATTCCTAAAAAAATATTTCTGTTAACTTGTTGACTTGAAAACTTCCAAGGGAAAAGTTTGTAAATTAGCGAAAAATCATTATGGGGACTAATTTGCTTGAACTTTTTCACAAGTTTTCAACCACGTGCTTTCTATAAATGTCCGAAAACGCAAGTTTACACATGCTCTAATTTAGATGCGGAGAATTTTTAATGACCAGCTGGCTCAAATTCTTCATTGAGCATCAAACTGTCCCTCAGCTTCTTAATTCCTAGAAAACGTCCTTGTGCCCCGATTTTCTCCAAATGTTCCAACTTTTACCAGTCAAGCATCTTCTATAAATGAGCATCAAGTCAAGCCCTTTCGTGCTCCGATTTAGAGGTGACGAATTTTTGAAGAACCGAGTTTTAAAGGAAAGTGTCTTCAATCTTCTAGCGCCGACAGCCTAAAACCGTCGTCAATCACGAAAGCAGATGACACCATCCTCATCGTTCAGGTTGAGGTGTTTGGAGTAAATTTGCCATTTTAATCAATGCTGATTGGATGGACTGGGGCCCACACATTGCGGCACTGAAGAGACGACGATGTTTCTTTGTCGCCTGTACGAAATACCCACTGGAAGTCGGTTTGGTGACTTTACGTGGGTCGTAAATAATGCGAAGGCCATGGTCAAGGTGAACCATGATGCTAGGCACCATATTAGCGATGACAAGTTCCGCCAATCATCTCGAAGTTTGCCCCATTAACATATGGCCAGAATCAAAACAAGCGGCTTATGTAAGCATTGGTGGGTTTCTTCAAGTGATCTTCGATCTGCTGCTTAATTGCTACTGTAGTTGGTAGCTTCGCCAGTAAGTTTCGTCAAGCTTGCAAGTGGCTTTGTCATAATAAGCAAAATGAATCCATCCCTTGATTAGCCCATTTTTCAGAAGTTTAAGGTCGACAGCATATCGTTATTGCTGGTTTGCGACCACACCTCCTGTTCGTATCACGACTTCGGCGCTCATAATGCAAAAGCGTTTTCCGGCATAGTCCTTTTCGAACTTAGAACATAAGTGGTTGGTTACATTCTACTATCGTTTACGCAAAGCAACCTTGTAACTTTATACGAAATTAACCTTTCGCAAATGGGAAAAAAACACAATACTAATAACGCTTTATTGTCATTGGACGGGCTAGTAAAGTCTACAAACACCTGTCCATTTGCTTGTCCATGTCGTTGCAGATAAGCGAATTGGTGTTAGGCAATATGGGGAAAACCCATTTTCGTCAATAGATTAGTGTGCAATTAATTCCCGATTCTACCGGTTTTAATTTTTTTTTTAAATAGATTGATGCAAAACGCTCAGTTTCGAACAAACTAATCAGATGCATTTGATCGCAGATCGTTGGGTTCCATATATGGAACACAATTGGCGACCCACACGAAAGGTTTATTTACTCAGCGAGTTGACATTTATAATTTAATTTTCGGGCTGCAACTGGTTCAATGGCATTGCCCTTTTGTTGTTCAGATATTTTAACTTGTCGCTTGTCCTCAATTTGAGTAGGTTTCAATTCTCTTCTGTCGGCCCAGAGCGCTGGAAATTTTCATATGAATCGAGCAGGTTCTGGCCAATAAACGGAGCATTTGATTTTTTCTTTGCAATAAGGTTTAAGATGCAAAAAAATCCATTTTAGATTGCAGGAGGTGGTCTAAACGAGAAATATTTCGAATTTGTCACCCAACATTTTTTTGGCCTAAAACAAACTCAATTTTGCACTGATTTCTAAGTTTCGAAAAATGAAAGAAATACAATGGTTGGTTTTTCAAAAGCGTATCTCAAAAGACAAAAATGACATAAATTGTCGAATCTACGGTCGATTCGATAAGGGGATGCTTTGATT